TTGATTTGACAAAACTTACGTCAACACTGCACCACATTCCAAAAACATAATAAGTGATTTTGATACTCATGTGACATCATATTAGTACTTTATAAAACCTTACTGAAATTTTAGTGATGATTGCTTTACTTGAAGAAAACATTTGACACTGGTGTTTATTACTTAAGAAACTAAATAACATTGAAGAAGTATTTATACATAATAATACAAGTATTAAGTCAAACTACATTAATTTGAAAATATAAATGTTACAATTACTTGAATAAATAAAACAAATCAAATACATATATAATAAGAATTATATTCATTATACTATATACTAAATGAACAACGCTTAGCTACAATTCATGCCAACGACTTGTATAACAAAATATGTGAACTTACACTAAAAGACGGATCAGCCCCATGGAATTACTCAATGATATGTGATGAAACGGGCAAAGAGTTAACTAGTCATCCTGCCAAAAAAATTGTAAAATTTTCCTTTTTACAACTAAACCCAATGCTTTTACATCCCATTCCTTTTAACCCCGCGGACTTTCAGAGTTGGATTTTGGTCTATAAACCCAAAGCTTCATTAAAGCTTTATTCACATTAACTTTAAAATCCACTCACTTCCAAGTTTTACATGGGTTTTTGCCCATAAACCTGAGATTTTACCTCAATTTATTTTTTAGCCCATCCACTTCCCAAGAGTCTCCTGCCTATTAAACCAAAGTTTTATCCTTATTTATTTTAAATCCAGACTTCCAAAATTTTTGCCTATGAACCAAAGTTATACCCCCATCCCCATTTATTTTTTAATCCACTCACTTCCAAAATCACTCTTACACTTAAAACACACCACATAATTAATTCTTAACCCACTTTGTACTTAAATAATTTAGTATACAGTGCAAGTTGCTATATTGCTATAACTTGCTATATTTTTGTTTTAATTGACTAGGTATATGGCGTATTTTATCTTAAAAAAATGCTTAAATTATCATTTATTGGCTTTTTCACACTAATGTCGCGTCATCACAAACTCTAGATGGAAAAGCTAATAAACTCAAAGTTCTAGCCAATTTATTTTGAAACTCACAACTTCCAAATAGTCTTATTTGCTATAAACCTAATCACATCCAAAATCATTTAGTTTTGCCCTCATTTAGTTTTAAACCTAATTACTTCCATAATTACTCTTACACCTAAAATATTTAATCAAATTAATCATGAACTAACATTGTATTTTAGCAGTTTGATTGTGGTGTAAGCTGCTACATTTTAGTGTAACTTGCCATTATAAGTTGTTTTAGTAATTAGCTATATGATGTATTTTTAAATCAAATTCTTAAATAATCATTTACTCTGATTTTTTAAAAACCAATAAAGTGGCATCGTGTGGGTCAATTTTGCTCGTTTAAGATTTAAAGTAGGTAAATTTATTTTGCTTTTCTCAAAGTATGCACTATAATACTCTTTCTACATAAAACTTATTTTACATTATATTGAACACTCCAAATTTGTTTAAGCAATTTCTTGTAATTTTTTTGAGAAAAATAAGCAATTGTCGCACAAAACAATAACATCAATAGCCACAACTATTTCATCTTTAGCGCACATGGGAACCGAACCCAGCATCCCCCACAGGGGAGCAACATGGCTTTGCCATGTGACCTCCTGGGTTATCCCGCAATTTATTGCATTTTGAATTTAACCTATATAAAATTGAGTATATTTAACATATGCATATGAATATACAGATATGAAGATACATATGCGCATTCCTTTTTTTTAAGAATGTGTATCTCATGTTCATGTCAAATATCATAACCAATTTGGGTCCCTTGTTGGTAACTATGTCTCACACATCATCCCTCTAGTCTCACAAATCATGTTAGCCATTGCGCACTAAACTTCTGGCTCTCCACTCCTTGAGATCAACGCAATTGGGTCCATTGTTGTACTATAATATAATTTATTTTATTAATGCCAACTAAGAAAACTTTGCCTTTAAGTAATGCAATTGGATTATAACCATTTGAAAATTGAATTGTTTTTTTATAATAGATATTTGTACACTACTTTTAAATTTATACTGGGAAATATATTGAAATTTTCAAGTCATGTGTTATTTCTTTGGTGCAAATTAGCACATTTAATATACAAATATTCTCTTATATATGACACATATTTGTTTCCTAAATATCCAATTCATATCTGCAACCGTACCATATCGGTCTCTCCAATATCTGAACCGCATCTATTTCTATTTCTTACAGATGTGGTTATTAACAGTTTTTTTACCGAAGGAAAACTGTATCCATATCTGTTTCACCCCAAACATGCATATTAATCAAGTGAGAGTAAATAAGAGGACACATTGAATAATGGGAAAATAGGTTAGACGTATTGTGTAGCATATTACTAATATTCTTTAAAGAGTGTATCAACAGTTACTCTTTCTTTAAGAAAAGGCTTTCTTTCGCTTTTAATTACTAAAATATATCACCTAACCTCCCCTTTCCGATGATACATACATGTTTTCTAACTCCTTTCCCCCTTTCCGATACAGAGCAGATGCACCTGATCAGTGAAATTCAAATCTACAATCAATGTTATAGTAGAATGAGGACCAATTAGTAATGACTTTCCCTTTAAATTAACTCTTCCTTTAAGTTCTTTCTCACTTATTGAAGCCTCTTTTCCTACGTGGGGTTTCAGGTCACTTCATGTAAGCTTCTTTGGTGTGTTCACCCTTTCGCATTGCCTTTTCATTGTAGTCTTATTCCTCTCTCGTAAGGTGGAAATGAACCAAATAATTAACAAACATTTCGACTGTTATTTGTCTAGATATTCAGTTATCTCTGACTCAATAGTTCATTTAACAGTAAATGAATAATCTTTAGTATGCGATTCATAAACGAATAGAAGTTAACCAAAGGGATTCAATTCAGTTGATTATTAACTATTCGTTTCTATTTTTTAATTTAGTTTTTATAATTATAATTTGTTGCATATACTACCCATTGCTAACTTTTTTCGCATTCAATCTCATGTAACTAAAATTAATAGGTTACGCTGATGTAGATAAGTCGGAAGTACAAGTCCAAATAGATTAGTTGATAGCATTGACCTCATATTAATAACTTAGACTAGGTCCATATTAAAAATGTTAACAATGCGGGTCCATGTAACTATTTAACTTTAACTACCTAAGATTTCTCTCTCTCAAAAGTTTGTTGGCTATGGGTAGTGGAAAGTTTGGCACCCATGAGGGGCATGCCTTCTCTCCAATCTGTAGCAATTGTTGCCACTCAACATGAAACTGCAAGGGCAGTCTGATAGAGAAACTGCCACTATTAGCTATATACATTTACTGAAAGTCTCCCAATGACATATACAAAAAAATGAGCATTGTTCACTAGATAATGTGTGAGTGAAAATGATTGAAACATTAGACATCTTGTTAGTTTGTGAGACACTTGGGTTGTCGATTATACACTTGTTTCCTCTT